ATCCATCCATCCATCCATCCATCCATCCATCCATCCATCCATCCATCCGTTCATCCGTTCATCCATCTATCTATCCAGCCACCATATACAATTAAAGTCTAGAGACACTGCAGCGACAACGACCAACCACAACGTTACACAACGTTTTAGTAATTCATAATAAATACATTTGCTAGTATTATTTCCACTGAACTGTTGTTGCACACGTACGCAAGAAGCTCGGCGACAACCATAATTTAGACATAATTATTTAGAATCGTTTCTAGATTTTAACGACGTAGTCGCGCGAAACTGCCTAAATAGCCAATGACAACCGTAGATAATGTTTTCATCGGTACGTAATAAAAAGATTTGTGACGGAGTTGAGCTGCTCAGCTGTCTGCGGATTGCAAAGGCGTCTGTCTAAGAGACATTTTATTTGTTCCGAGACGTTGGTGTTTACAATATCTGGGGCAGAAAACGTCTATTTCTAGCACAAAACTTATGAAAAAATAGATTAGATTACGCATTCGAGTTTCCAAATAAGAGGCGCAAGTGTTTTATCAATCATGAAAACAAATATTGTGTACAGTAGCGAAATAGCGATATCGAAGTTGTAATGGGTGATTTCTTGAGCAGGTACCTGGTTTATCTCGGACACCCAAAGACCTGTGGCATACCGACCAGCCACTACCGTTAAGCTGACGAACCAAGCCAACACTTTGTAAGTTTAGTCGAGAGCCTTCGACTGTTATGACCACGCGTCTGCATTCGGCAAGAAACACCATATATTCACCAACTATAATATATATATATTCGTCTTAACCAACAACTGCTAGTAATTAAATATGAACAATCCCGTCAAAAGATCACAAGGAAAGATGATCCATTGGAGGCGAGTTTGCATTTGTTTGGGCAGATCAGGTGATCGAGTGATTCGTTCCAAACATACAAACTCAATATTATCACTTTAATAATACATATCACACCAATAATATGATAAGTAGCTACTCCAGGTGGCCCGCCTAGCACTATTCAAACACGAGCCGCGTGTAAGGTCTTTGATATAAATCCATATAACATGCTTTCCTATCCACGATACTGTTCTAGCAACTACGAAACTCTCCCGGCGTACGACGGAAGCAATGACGTCACCATCCACATGCCTGACGATGCGTCAGTGTTCGACACGGTGTGGCTCAGTATGTATTGTCTTCAAGTCAAGTTCAACTTTGCTGACGTTATTCTGCTGACCCCGAAGTAAGCCGATCGTGCGCGCAACTAGTTCTACCCTAGTCCAATAAGCTGCGCCCTTATAATTTTTGCATAATCTGACGCTATCCGATCGCCTAGATTAGTGCCAGATTATAGAAAACTCCAAGGCACAATTTATTGGTGCAAAATTATTTATCTACCGGAGTAGCGTATCGCTCCTTTGTCGAAGCGATGGGCTACACAGGCAGGGCTACCGGACTACCCTTTGTCGCGTATTTTCTCGGCCTGAATCAAATGGCAGCGATTTATACGTGTGTGGTTTAGGTACGGGGCGCCATGCAGGACAGGGCTCAATTTTGTCTAACAAAACTCAATTCTGTCCCACAAAACTCAATTTTGTGAACACAAAACTCAATTTTGTAAACACAAAACTCAATTCTGTCAATCCTGTCCCACAAAACTCAATTTTGTGAACACAAAACTCAATTCTGTCAATCCTGTCCCACAAAACTCAATTTTGTGAACACAAAACTCAATTCTGTCAATCCTGTCCCACAATTCCCAATTTTGTGAACACAAAACTCAATTCTGTCGAACCCGGTTTCACAAACATCGTTTGTTGTTGACCTCAAAATATGGCCACGCATGTTAGAAGGCTACCATTGCGTTTCTTCTGACCAATGCGATAGCCCTTCTTACATGGTGTGCCATATTTGGCAACAAATTCGAGTTTTGTAGGAACCGGGCTTCGGACAGAATTGAGTTTTGTGTTTAACAAACTGGGTTCTTTGTGAGTACAGGAATTGACCAAAAATGAGTTTTGTGTTCACAAAATTTGAGTTTTTGTGAACTACGCGGGCGCCATGACAGGACAGGGCTCATTCTATCGAACCGTTCACAAACTCGGGATTTGTTGCCCAAACATGGCCACGGCCATGTAAGAAGGGCTACCAATTGGTCAAAGAAACAATTGGTAGCCCCTTTCTTACTGCGTTGTGTATGTTATGCATATTTGGCAACAAATCGAGTTTTGTGGAACCGGTTCGTTAGATGCAGTTTTGTGTTTACAAAATTGAGTTTGTGTGGACAGGATTCACAGAATTGAGTTTTGTGGGAATTGTGGGACAGGATTGACAGAATTGAGTTTTGTGTTCACAAAATTGAGTTTTGTGGGACAGGTTTGACAGAATTGAGTTTTGTGTTCACAAAATTGAGTTTTGTGGGACAGGATTGACAGAATTGAGTTTTGTGTTCACAAAACTCATTTTTGTCAAGTTTATAGGTACAAAAATGCCTGTCCTGCATGGCGCCCCGTATTAGGATCTTACTGGCTTAGCGGTTTCAAGAATGCTTGTAAAGTTTTATCTAGGTGCATATATGTGCACAAACGCTTTAAGCAGAGAATACTGTCGGATTCCAAACGATCTATTTATGTACGCAGTCCTAGCCTCGTTAATAGGCAGCGTGAATTTAGTTGAAATGCGTCAGACGCATTCTGTTGTGTTTGAATTAACTATGTTTAATAAAAAACGTTTTTAACAACGTTATCGTGACAGGGACCCTTACTCATTATATAGTAGTTGTACACTATTTCCTAACACCTCTATTGTGACGCTAAAATTCTTGCTGGCAATGTTATGTGGACGTTTCTCGATTGTATGCTATATTCAATTCGCGAGGTAAATATGTTCCATTATTTGTTACGGATATATATACTGTTTACTAGGACTACCTTCTACACTGTTAGTGATAATATTTCTCATCTCTGTATATTGATTCGATTCAATGGATTTTGAATTGTCAGTTTACGCATATATTAGGTGTATCAAATTAAAGTGTTCGTTATCGATTATATATATATCGTTATCCTATATCAGAATATAGAAATAAACAAACTGCAATTGACGAATCTATGAATGTGTGATAATTCTATGCCGATGTAAGCGAGGTTGGATCACCTTACACCAGAGGGGAAGACAGACGTTTGAATATAATGTATACTCGTTATAGATGGAACTTCACGAACAGTTGGCTAAGGGTAGCTAAGCGTACATACAAATACGCGATAAATCGTGGGAAACTCGTGGCACTAGTGTAGACGATAGACGCACGCATGCAAATAGGTCATACCATAATATCAGGAGTAAGATAATATACTATAGGATAAGATAATATAGTAAGATAATATACTATATTATCTTACTCCTGATAATATCATGCGTTTCATGCGTCACGCATTGAACACACTCCAACGATAGTCGTATGCACATATATTCGCTACTTCAATACAGTTCAATCACCTGCGCACGTCTCCAGGCTATGCAGCTTGCAATTAGCGATTTTGTAGCTATTCAATGCGGTTGTCGCAAATTTGGAAATCTCGTAAAATCGATTAACGCACATGATAAACTATAGTCGCATTTTCAGCAACACGTGTCTTTTCTAACGCCACGATGCACCGCTAATTAATAATAAAGAGAGTTGACACCTCTATGAGGGTAAATCGAGCTGTACCTGATTCGAAATTTTACCCAAATGCCTTCCGCCACATGTCCGCATGTGCGCAGAAGACTGGTCTATAGAGCTATTCGGCACACATTATCCTGACGCCGCACGTCAGGTTGTGAGCAAAAGTGTTGAACGTTTTGCCAACGGCATCTAAAGCAGTTTCAAAGAATGCGACAGAAGCAGACATGGCCCTCGGCTATATATATATATATATATATATGCGTCGACGACCGCGGAGTGGAGCTACTTTTTCACCGCACGCGTGGTTCTCCGTGGCTGTTACTGTACTATACTAGTACAGGAGAACTAGAACTACTACCTGAGAAGGAGGTCGCGCACGTATTGTCAGCAACACCAGCGACCCTTTTACGCGAAACTTCCATCATCCGCAAGTGTTATTGACGTCACGGTTCAGAAAGCATCTTTCGGCTTTTTGTTGTCTTCGCTGGCAATGTTGTTGCCGCATCAGCTGGTAGACAGGCATCTATTGGCGCGGAGGCTTCGTGGAAACGGCATAGATTTAGACCATTAGCAGCGACTGTAGCGAGCATGGTTGCATAGCAGGTGCTGTGGGCGTCGAACTGCTGCGGACAATGTATACGTACGTAGTCACGACGCTTTCGTGTCATTACCATGCGAAACGCATATCTTATTGCGAATCTTACGTGCATAATTAAACCACATCGTAACCTGTTAGTTTCCAAATTTTTCGTGGCATTTGCGAGCGAGTAATAAAATGGAATAAATGAATATAGAGTGAAAAAAGTGGTTTAAATTGTCTGCAGACGTGTGCAATAGAGAGCAAAGCAAACGCGTAGCGAATCAAGTGTTACTTTAATCTAAACATTGTAATTTTTAACGAAAAATTGCTGCCTAATTGCGCGCGTGGGACATTTCCATACACTGAAATCGTCTGTACTCGGCGACTGACCTAAATAACGCGAGTTTTCCGCTCAAAGTATAATGCTATATAGAGGTTCTCGCGAAAGCTATACTGCTTTCTTTCATGAGCTTTAGAAAACAAGGTACGCCTCTTTACCTCCGCCAATAAAGATACAAGGGGTTGGCAGGAGGTTATGTTTTCACCGGCGTGTGTTTGTTCGTATGAGTGTTTGTTCGTTTGTGGGTTTGTAACGCCGTTCTTTGTGTACAGCCGAACTAAAAAAGTTAAGGACGGATTGTCATAAAATTTTCAGCATAGGTCACAAATGGGCTAACTTAGAATTGATTCGATTTTGGTGGTGATCCGGATCCAATTAATTAATTAATTAATTAATAAAATTTTCAGGATAGGTCAGAAATGGGGTAACTTAGAATTGATTACATTTTGGTGGTGATCCGGATCCAATCAATTATTTAATTAATTAATTAATTAATAAAAATTTTCACAGTGAGAGAATTCAGCTGCCTTGGCACAGTTCTGCGCTCTCCGAGTGCTCTAGTTGTTATTGTATTCGGACGGGAATTCACAGCTCGTGTGCGGCGGCTGGCGAAGAGCAGACCTATTTGTGTCGTAGAGCGCCTAATGTGTGATGCATTTCATACATGTCATTAAAACAAAACCACTCGTTAAATTTCTTCCATCTTTTCAATGCAACAAACGATCGTGGACCGGTAACTAAATACATCACGGTTAAAATGCCATCATCAGTGTAATAACATGTTTTTATTTCCCGATTTTCCACCCACCAAATATCGCACGGCGCTACGCATTCCTCCAACAAGCCGACTAGGTAGAAGCGTTTAATCCACGCAAAATCTCACGCACGCATTTTTGATACAATGTGCCTAACGCAAAGTTAAGTTTGCAAATTCTCTCGTAATGGTAACGCGCATGATATTCGCTATAACCCGAGGGTGGGCGAGATAGTACAGATGGTGCGTTCCTGCTTAGCAGCAATATGATCTGAACTTTTCGCATGCATGCACATATCCAGCGAAATTTAACTGTTTATCATGCAGAGCACGAAATTAAAGCACGTGCACAGTTAATGCGCTCTTGATATTTATACGATATTGCACGTACGCTGTCAGCATCTGCCTCAGCATTTGCTACGATCCGGAACATGCACAGGTAGCTGGTTTTCGAGAGAACGTACTTGTTGATTTTGAGGTAAGTTAAATATTTCGAATTACGAAATTAAATACGTTTCTATCACCACACTGCACCAATGATGTTTGCAGAAAGCTCCGAGACGAAAAGCGCATGTACCGTATATTTCGGCGACGACTTCTATAAACGATAGCCTTCACCAATGCTTCTCATTTGCAAAACGAAAACGTAATAAATTATAATTAACAGGCGGATTTAAAGAAAAGGTCGGTAATTCGTATTTATTTCCGCGCCAAATCTTCCCAAACTTTTTTCACGAGAGGTGAAACTAGAGCCATTAATTTCCGCATGCCATTGGTATCGCGCGGCGACGCGCACACGCGTGTGCGTGTGTGCGCGCGTACGTGCACCGCGCATACCCAGGCTGCTGCCCCTTACTTGCTACTCGCGCGACACGCATTAAACTCTAGCTTTATGTTGGAGACGATGGGACTACGTTGATGCTTGTGGATGGAGAGCCCTGCCCGGCCCGGCGACGCTGGGAAGACGAGATACTTGCCCTCTAAGTCGGGGAAGTTGCCATCGTCCACGCTCTTGCGACTTTTCGTGAACGTGATTTCTTGCCTCCCCGGCACGGACGACGAGCTGACGGAGTTGACATTCTGGAACTCGTCGGTCGTCGGACGTCCGTAACCACTTATGAAGCTGTCATAAAAGGGAAAGCTTTAGCGAAATCACCCGGGTGCCAGGGGCGACGATGGTACGAACCGCGCCATATCAAGGTGACCGGGGATCCGGGTAATATATTCACGAGTAGGTTTAAAAGTATCTATAAACCTATCAGATTGTTTGACCGTGATATATATATATATATATATATATATATATATATATATGTGTGTATGTATGTATATATATTGCACCACCTTGAGTCCAAGTATAAGTGCGGTAAGGCATCAGCGCATTTATGATGTTTCTGACAACTGGCCCCTGGTTTTAAACAAAAAAACTTTACTGGTCGTGCGTACCGCAGGGAGACTGTCCTGCATTATTGTACTGACGCCACACAGACAGATAGTCCAAATTTTTTGCTATACCGAAGCGTTTCGAGTATTGGTGATATTAGGCACGCAGTTGGATGTAAATCTATCCGTCGTGCTATATCTATCCGTCGTGCTAATTCTATCCGTCGTGCGGCTTAGTATATTCGTAGTTACAATAGTTTAACGAACGAAAATGCGGAAGTAGAATATAGTATACGCTTATATTTAGAACCATGCATGCCGTTCGTATTTCACGCGATTATATTTTCTCTTGTAATTGATTTTTTTTCAGTTGTATACCGTTTTAACCGTCGTTTACTGTTTTTATAAGTCAAACACGCGAAATGACAAATTCAGCAAGCAGCGCGGTTTAAACTATAGATCATAACATAACAACCGTCGATTTTACGATAGCAATTTAAATAGTTTATCATACCTATCGATAAGGACCGTTTGTCCATTTGGCATTACGAACCCGTAGGCGAAATCTGTGTTGGGCTAAAAAATAGAAGTAGGTATAAATGTATAATATAAATTTGCAATGTAAAATAACTATTATATACTACTGACGATTTCGATTCGAACGAGATGCGACTTTGAATGACGTACATTTAATTAGGATATACCATTTATGATCAACCAGTCTTTCACGAAACTATCCTTCTCTCTCACTCTCTCTTGTTCTATCTGTCTCTCACACACTCTCAATCATTCTCCTGCTCTCCGTTCTCATTTTCGCACACTCGTACAAATGCACGCAGACATGCACACACGCATACACACCAGCACTCGCTCACTCATTCACTCATTCTCGCCACAGCCATCACTATATCGACTTTGCTCTTCTTTAACTGGATCGACGTGAAATTAGAACATCGATTGATCTTACCATGCTATTGTCGTTCGGTAGTTTGAAGCCGACGCCTAGCCAAACGTCTGACCGAGAGTGGCTGATCGTGAACTCTATCGCATCATTACGGGCCTGGGCGCCGAGTTTGATGTCCCAAGTGGCCGAGTAAGGACCGCGGCTGAACGATCCGCTGCAGTGGTCACCTGCAACGTTGTGTGGTCGTAGTAAGAGTACGGATATTATATCGATCACACATGCATTGATGTGTGTAATTCGCGGCGAGACACAATCACGTGTGATCGAGCGTATATAGAAGGAGAGGGGATTACAATATACGAGTATACGATATACGACCCGATACGACCCGATACGATTAATACGATATACGATTCCGACCCACGCGTTCCAACCTACGAACGCTACTACAATTCTAGCTTCGTCCTGGCTGGGCTTCTCTGAGCTGCCACTCTGCGGTGAGTGTATGCGCGATGCTGTCCCGATTGTTTTAGAGAAACAAACCACGTCACTCGCGGGGCTTTCGACGATCACGTTGGTGATGAGAAGGTTTAACGGTGGCTCGAACCCTACCTGCGACTAGTTGACCAGCGACGAGAAGGCAGACAACGATGAGGCGGTACATTGTGCCGGTCGGTGCTTGTGATGTGTTTGCTCTGACGTGCCTCGACGGAGTGAAACTCGTCTCACAACTAGGGGCCTTATATAGGAACACGCCGCCAGCGGTGATGTGCGCGTGTATGGAGAGGGGGTAAATAATGTGCCGATGGCGACAAATTCAGGTTCTCCTCCGACTGCTGCGGATGTTTTCTAGGTCTAAAATCGGGTCACGGTATAGTGAACTAGATCAGTAGTGAACAGACCAGAATACATGCGCGAATGCACACATCATACACACACACACACACACACACACACACACACACACACACACACACACACACACACACACACACACACACACACACACACAAAGAGAGACACACACACACACACACGCACGCACACAACTCTACATAGAGTGTCTCAAAAATACTCCCGCACGTCCTGCAACTACGGCGGCATGATGGAATCCGACATGAGAAACGTACGTGTTCATCAATAGTAGGGGTTCGATAGCCATGTCATCCACTTCGTAATGACGAGATACAATTAATGAGCGCGAGGGGAGGGGGGGGAGGGATATGGCGTGCCGCGAAACCTCTCTTTGCAAGAGGTGTGACGCGTGCGCGCGTGCGACCCTGGTGTGAAAACAGTAATAGACCCGAGGTCGGATACCCTGAGATAATAGTGTGATGTTCACACTGCAGCTGACACACACGCACGCACTCTCTCTCTCTCTCACACACACACACACACACACACACACACACACACACACACACACACACATACACACACACGTACACACACGCGCACGCGCAGACTGGCACTGTTATACACGTGTGCATACATGTTTTACATACACATGCACACGCGCGCACGCGCGCATACATTCAGGCACGCACACACACACGAACTCGCTTGTTACGCTAGACGTGATGCGGCCATGATGCCGAGGCGCGCCGAGGATTGACACTTTGTGTCTCCCAATCACAGCCTACGCCGCACCAGTCTTCTATATTTTTAAAGATGAGGATCCATTGGACCACCAAATCGCCGATCTCATGAACTAGGGCATTCTGCTATGTCAGAACGGTTTCTTACAATAGACTTTGCCACAAATACGAAAATAATACGCTGTTTAGCGCACTGCGCTACGTCCTTCTGTTGCATTTTCACATTTCCGTAATCAGAATAAGCCCCGCCTTCTTCGTTGATAGATATGAATGGGGCGTCACCGACGTGACCAGTTACTGTACCTACTGGCTTTCGCCAGCCTGTTTACTTTTCGTAAATAATGAAATGCCCGGCCGATGCATTTCGCATCGAAGTGAAAAAATTTCGGCATTTGCACTTGCTGTCGAAAGTGAAAGAGTGCGTCATTCATTGAATATTGAAGTTTTTCTTCAAATTAAATAATTCCGAAAATTCCTAATCGCGCTACTCGATTATTTCTCAGTATTTCTTAAGGTGCATGGAACATTTTACAAATTTAGTGGTGTCAGTTAGTCACGGATAAGTCACAGTACGTACTAACCGTATATGTTTCACATACGTTCACCTATTTTGCACACAGGCGGTCGATCATTGTAAAAAATTGTGCGAATATGTATTTTTATTGAGACGTTGCAAGTGCCTGTGCTTTCATCAGTCTTGTACGTCAATGCACGTGCGTCAAGAGCCACAAACTCAACACAATTTCATCTCTGTTATTGTTTACGCCTGAATGCGTGATTGATCAGGGAGGGGTGCATGTAAGAGGGAGACATTTTCTTTGGGGTTCCGAAAAACACCATGGGCCATTTCAATTGGAAGCTCTGCATAATGAAAATCTAACAAGCCCTTTGACTGACTAGTCAAGAAATTCAAAGGTCTGTATATTGCTCATATTTAGCCGCCGATAATTCTTATTTAGAACAAAGTCTTCATTGTTATCTTCTAAAACTACAGACCATCCGCTGACCGCTGTAGAGTCGTGCGCCGGGCCGCGAATTGTTTTTTCCTACACGTTATATCCATTGCAGAGTTTTGGGCTCCTCTGATTGGCTGCTTTGATTTGCTTTGACTCAACAAACATTCAAAACAAGGGAACAAACGCCATTTGTAAACATTTATTATGGTTTATGATCTGTAGATAAGTAAGTTTTCTGATGTATTTTTTATGAAAAACACACATTTTACTCATTAATATAAAATATAATATCACTATAATTACAATTATTTGTGTAAATGTGTTATTTTCATCGTTAACGTTAAGTTATGAGAGGGTCTGGGCTTTCGTAACACTTACTACATAGGCTACGTACGTTAGCTCCAAGAAACGGTATTGCTAGGGTTAGAATATTGTATATTGACGTTAGTCACACAGCCTGCATGGTTGGGTTATACGTACGTATACGTACTCGTACTATAGTATAGCCCTTCGCTCCGTCGCAGGAGGAAGGACTGAAGGGCTATAGTACTAGAGCTAACAAAGGTTTGTTTACTTTTTGCTCAGTCTAGCGTCAACGAGTACGTATAGCTCTAGTACTAGTCTATAGCCCTTGGCTCCTTCCTCCTGCCTGCGACGGAGCGAAGGGCTACTCTATAGTACGAGTACGTATACGTACGTATGTAGTATTACGAGAGCCCAGACCCTCTCATAACTTAAGATTATGATGAAAATAACTCATTTACACAAAGGATTGTAATTATAGTGATATTATATTTTATATTAATAAGTAAAATGTGTGCTTTTATAGAAAATACATCACAAAACTTACTTATCTACCAATCATAAACTGAAACCAATTTTTACAAATGGTGTTTGTTCTCTTGTTTTGAAGTTTTGTTGAGTATCAAATCAAAGCAAATCAAATCAAATCAAATCAAATCAAAGCAGCCAATCAGAGGAGCCCAATGGATATAACGTGTAGAAAAAAAAAATTCGCCGCCGGGCCTCGAATTTGGCGCACGTCTCCACTGCGGAAAGCGCTTCATACTTGAATATCGCATATCCCGTGGAACTGCGCGTCTCATCCGAGTCCGCGCGCAGCGCTCAGGATCAACAGCAAAGCTGTGCCACGCAATCTTGTATGATCTCATTTATTATGTATTGTTTTTTTTTCATTAAAACCAGCCTGGCTTTCCAAGAATTCTTATAAAATAGATCACGTAGCTTGTTAGTTAGTAATATAAGCGACAGTTAACAAGCATTGTCGGACATCAGCCTCAGGTGCTATAGGTGCCTAGCTGTCATACAATGTTGGTGCACGCTATTGAGATAGTTAACTGCAGGCTGGTCCGCGTGGGTACGGCCGGTATTCTAACTAGCTGTTGTCTGAATATAGAAACCCGTTTCTGCCTGCTCGTTAGGCAAGGTATAATAAGACGTAGTTAGAACAAAGAGGTTACGGATAGACAGAACGAGAATGAGACGAGATGCGGGACCTAGGGATTGTCACCTAGGCTGTAGTATGTAGTATGTATATGTATATACATTTTGTATGTGTTCAAGTTATGTATTCAAGTTACAAATAAAGTCACATTCGTTATACATTGTGTCTGCAGTACCAGCTCTATCTGATTTGGAGACTGCATCACCCATCTAGAACCTCTACATCTCTACTACTTCGTCATCTCTTTTACCTGCGGCATCTCACAAGATGATTCCTAAGGCTTCAACTCAATTCTCACACTATAGACTGAGTGTGTTTTTATAGCACTGGTTGCGATTGCAGACAAGCAAAATGGCTCGTGAGGCTCGTGAACAACATTGAAAACACGCGTTTTCGAAAACACAGCGCTTCGAGCGATATTTAAATTCCCCGATCGAACTCAACTTGTAATACAGTCGAAGGACGAATAAGTAAAGTAGCTAGGGATAACCATTGTTCGGGCTGGTCATATATGACCAGCCCGAACAATGGTTATCCCTAGCTACTTTACTTATTCGTCCTTCGACTGTATTACAAACTTAACTTTGTTTCTATCCGTTTGAGCGCTATATAGAAATCTATGGCATTCAGTAATATATGCATGCGCGAATTGAGCAAAGATGGCGATAAGCATGACATTTAAAAATCAACCGCAACATCAAGTTCTTCAATCGTTTCTTCGCAGTGTCCCACCGCGGCGTGTGATACAAAGAGTACGATTGTATTACTTGATATACGGTTCTAATAGAGACTTTAAAAGGAATGCAATAACATTAAAGCCAACGGCGAAATGTTTTAATTCATCTACAGTCTTCTCTACTCTCAGCCACCCTTCTCGCACCACTAATTTCTCCGCGTTAGAAGAGAAAGAGAGAGAGAGAGAGAGAGAGAGAGAGAGAGAGGACAATGGGGAAGAGAAAGAGCGGGCGGGCGAGAGAGAGAAAATGAGAAAAGGAGAGTGAAAGAGCGATAGTCAGATAGCGCTTGCGTCACGTTCGAAACTAATTTACGGTTCGGGTGCCACGCCGAGGAAGGGCGAGCCCACCAGCCGCCACGCCGAGGAAGGGCGAGCCCACCAGCCGCCGCGCTAGCGAGCCACAGATAGATCCCCACACCGAGATTAGAGCGCGCGCATTAAATGTCCGAATGCATTAGCGTTATTGGTGGATGCGTGCATGCGAAATCACTAAATGATTCGGATAAAGTCGGATTCTCGGCGAGCGATCCCGACGCTACGTCACACGCACACTCGATAGAGAGAATGTGTTACTAGAACGGCGACGCCATCATCGGCAGACGAACTAACGAATTTCTTAAAATTCACAGGATTTATTTGTGCCGCGAGAATTACTTCGAGAGATTATGCGCGATGCGCATGCGCGCGCGTTATGCGTGTGACGCAAACACACATGCCGCCTGCGCGAAGGTTGTGGCCTCATGCTATCGCAAACTGATTATAACTTCAAGCTAGCGATGGCGAATTAGTTATAACCTCGCCCTAGGGAATTGATTATATAACCTCACTCTATACCGAACTGGTTATAACTTTGCATTGTAGTGAATATGTTATGAAACATTCACCATGCATGAAGATCATACCGAATAAAACCTACATATACGCGATATAACCGCGAAAACAAGAAGCTAGAATCACATCTCACACATGTGTTGTGACGAGACGTTGGCTATGTTAGGCGAGGCCAGGCGCATGATAGCGTGGTCCTACCATGCACGAGAGAGAAAACATGTTAAATTATTCCATTAAATATAACAGTCATTGTTTGGTAGGAAGACGGCGTATGTGACCAAGACACAATGTCATGTTACCATGCAGGAGTGG